CATCCTATCCCTCCCTCCCCTCCGTTCCCATCGCGCTGATGTTTCTCTATCCGCGGACGCGTGTCGCAGCCGACAAGGATCATTAGTACCCCCGCAGGGCACCCTAATAGCAGCAAAGGTGACCTGTGGGGTATGTGGGAACTCTGGGACTTGTGTGGGACCTGTGTGGCAGGCGGGAACTGTGGACCTGTTGGACATGTGCGACCGGCGGGGATTGTGGGACAAGTGCGACCTGGCGGACCTCCGTGGCCTGTGGGGCCTGGGAGACTTGCGACACCTGTGGAGCCCGCGGGACCTGCGGGACCTCCTGCCGGCATTGTGGGGCTTCTGGGACTTGCGAGACTTGTGGGACTTGTGGGACCGGCGAGACTTGGGGGACGAGTGGGACCTGGGGGACCTCAGTGGGACTTGTGGGACGACTTGCGACACCAATGGGACCTGTCGGACTTGAGGGTCCTGTGTGACTCAGGAGACCTGCTACACGTGCTTGTGGGACTGGCGAGACTCGGGGGACGTGTGGGACCTGGGGAACCTGTGCGGGACTCGTGGGACGACTTGCGACACCCATGGGACCTGTCGGACTTGAGGGTCCTGTGGGACTCCAGAGACTTGCTACACGTGATGTGGGACCTGAGGAACCTGCAAAACCTATTTCACCTGTGGGACCTGTGGGACGACCTGCGACACCCGTGGGACTTTGGGATTTGTGGGGCCTTCGAGGCATGTGGGACCCGCGAGACCTGCGGGATCTATAAAAGTGGCCCTCGCTGGGGGAGGGGGGAAACGCCATCCTGAACGACGGGAGCAAAGCTCCGATCCGAAAAAAGGCCCACCCTGCAGCAGGAGCATTTGTCGACACGACAAGAAATATTTGGATTGTAACAGACGGTGAACAACAAACAACAGTATATTTTGAAATCCTGCGTGTATGCAGCAATACGCGAGGGGGCGGAATACATCCCGCACGCAGTCAGGTGAAACAGGAGAGTAGTAGTCACATGGTGTAATTGTAGAGGAGTGGGACGAGGACGAGGAGGAAGAGCACGAGGACGAGGAAAAGGAGGATGAGGAGGAAGAGGAGGTCGGGGTGAAGGAGGATGAGGAGAACCAATGGAAACCCGAGACGCATCAAAGATTTTGCAGTACATCTTCCTTTCGAGTTTCTTAGTCAAAGGCCCCTACAGAACGTCCCATTGGAAGACAACCGTCTGAGAACCCTCAACATTGTCAATGCATTATTGTCTGGGACTTGAGCGCCGCGGATCAACGTGATTGTCTGCGTCTTGCGCCCTTACATCCAGACTCGTACCAAAGAGCGGCTTCTGGGACTCCAGCCTTGCGGGTCCTTGAAATTGTTACAAATGCTTAAAACGACCGTGCGAGGCGCTCAGGCGGGAACGACATTTCGAAAACCAGCCGCCTTCCATCCTTGAAGCTGCTACACACTCTTAACCGAATGCGCGCGGCTCTCAGGCGGGAACCACATTTCGAAATCCAGCCGCCCTCCATCCTTGAAGCTGCTGCACAGTTTAAAACCGAATGTGCGCGGCGTTTAGGCGAGAGCTACATTTTGAAAACCGGCGCCCTCCACCCTTGAGATAGCCAACTTCAGGATCAATAGTGGTGGAGAAGCCTCAGGCGAAACGCGTCGTGTAGTGGTAGGTCTTCGGGAAGGGGGGGGGGGCGTGGGCTTGGCGGCGATCTGGCCCCTGCCCGCGCTGTCAGGTTGCCCGTGTTCGGGCTGCCCGTGCTTGGTCAGCGGTTGTTTCCGGCCTGGCAGATTGGGACACGGGAGTTGGCTCGCCATCCCCATGTTGCCCGCTCAGAAGTGGCCCGCTCGTGCCCGCAGGGGAGACGGGCGTGCGCGCCCAGTGGCGACGAGCGGGCCTAACTGTTGGCCACTTGGTTCGGCCCTCGCGGGACCGCTGACAAAATTATACGACTACCGAGTCGGCGATAACGAAGACCTTCAGCACGATTGCGAGCACGACGCCCAAGACTTCTGGCACGACCATGTCTCCCGCTCGGCGCGAAAACCTATTTCGGCTTCCTCCACCACAACCACAGCCGTGACCCCGAATTTCGTATTGATGGGAACTGGCGAGATGCCCACACGTTTTGGAGTGGCGCGCCAGGGAGGAGATAGTTAAAAAGGAAATACGTTGGAGGAGGGCGGGGAGGAGGATGAGGAGGAGGAGGAAGAGGAGAAGGAAGAGGCGGAGGAGGTGGAGGAGGAGGAGGAAGAGGAGGACGAATAACGCTACAATCCGATGGTTCAAGCTGGCGGAACGTCAAAAAGAGGAGGACGAGGACGGGGGGGAAGAGGACGATGAGGAACGGGAGGAGGACGACGTGGAGGACGAGGAGGGGGGAAGCACGCAGAGACATGATGCTTTCAGGGCGGGCCTGCCTGGCCAACCCCTGGAGGACCTGGACCTCCGCGGCTCGGCTGGCGCGCCCCTGCACGCGCGTCCTGGAGGCCGCGCGGAGCACAGGGCAGGCGAGCCTCGCGCCCTTCCTCGTCCACCTTACGCCCCCAGTCTTCTCTCCCCCTGGTCCTCATCTTCGTCGTTCCTCTCTGCGTTGCCCCTCCTTCAATTCCCCTCTCCTCCACCGCGGTTGCGTCGCCCGCCGCCTGCCCTTCCTTCTCCTTTCCCCGCTCCCCCTCTTCACCCGCCTTCCTCCTCCTCCTCCTCCTCTTCCTCCTCTTCCTCCTCCTCATCCTCATCCTCTTCCTGTTCCTCCTCCTCCGCGCCCTTTCTTTTCCTCCTCCTCCTCCTCCGTAGCCATTTTGGCTCAAGTCTGGATGAAAGCTACGGTGTAGCGAGATTCCAGACTGAGGGCCAAAGTGGTCCTCTTAGGCATTTTGCCCTCGAGCTGCCTTGTTTCCTGCTCCCGAGGCCAGGTCATCGGCCGCCCGCAGGACAGCTCCGTTTAGGCATCTTCCGACTCAGTGCTGCCGCTCCTCTGCGATGGCGTCGGACGATGAGATGATGTGCCCAACGCCTGTGGCCGAGGAAGATGGGTCAGTCCCGAAGCGCGGGCGTACTGGCGATGCTGACTGGCTACGAGAGATGCTGGGTGACATTCGCTCGAACATGGCCACAAAAGATGACGTCACAGAGGTGAAAAGAACCATTCATGAGCACGAGGTTAAGATTGACGGATTGACTGCTCGAATGAAGGCTATAGAGGACAAATCTAATTCCAGCATGGAGGCAGCACAATGTGTTGCAGCCGCCGTCATGACTGAAGCTGTGGACAGCCAGCTGAAAGACATGAAGGCTCACAATCTCAAGATGCAGGCCGAGCTTGCTGCCCTGTCTTCGCGTACCCCATCGACCAGGTCGGATGCATCGGCTGCATCTCAAGAGCCTGAGAAGGAGAGGGACAACCGCAAGATCTGGATCGCTGGCTTCCCGAGGCCGCTGCTAGCCAAGGTCATGAGTGCCCATGCCACACAGCTCATCCAGCAGCACGTCCCCAATGGCATCACGGCGACGCCCAAGTCGCACAATTTCCAAACGGCATACAGTATCATCTTCGAGTCGAACGAGGCGGCTAAGGACTTCTTGATGCGTGCTCGGACCTTGGGCGTGAAGTGGCGCGACCCTCGCACCAACGCGGACTGCGACCTGAAGATCCGCATGGACGCACCGCCCGCCATCCGCAAAGTCAACCGTATCCTCGGCGTCCTCTGGTCCAAGGTTATGGAGACAGCCAAAGCCAATAACCAATGGAGTACTTCTTATACGCTTGGCTCGCAAGGATTTCGTGGTTCGTTATGGCTGATCTCTAATGAGGACACAGAAAATCTCTTCCAGGTGAAAGGCGTAGAGTCGATGCAGCTGGACGTCATTCCCAACGTCGTGGCATTGAAGAAGCTCGGCTTCACTGACGCCACCATCAACAGCACTGTTGAGAGCATCCTGATCTAGGAGAACGCCCTGCCAAGCCAGCAGCGCATGAGGACCAACCTGCATGATATACCCCTGGGGATTCTCGCCTCTCCTGTGGATAGTGATTTGACTGGTCCGGGTGTCCCGTTCTGCGTGGGCGCTTGCGGCGTGCATTCCACACCTGAGCAGGCGGCAGGCAGCGACGACCAGCAGCACGCCACACCGCCGCCTACGAAGAGAATTCGGTATTCATGCAGAACTGCCACTTCAGCGAGAAGAGCAAGAGCCTCTTCCTCGTCGTCCAGCGCGTCTGGGGCTTCCAGTCCTGCTGGGCATTCTGCACGTTCGGCACCTTCGGCAAGCTCAACGTCCTCATCCTCCAGCTCTTCTTCGTCGTTTACGGTTGAATGGCCTGATTTGCCGACGCGATGCAGTCCTTTCTTGCCGTGCAAGCGTTTTTTCAGTTGTGTCTTGGAATGCTCGTTCGCTCTTCGGCGCACTGTGCGCCCCGCAGCACACCCACCGCGCAGAGATCAGGCAGCTTATCAACATGATTCAGAATCATGATGTTGCATGTATTCAAGAGGCTCGCGGGACGTACGAGTGTTTCCGTGCCCTGGAGCGTGAGGTATATCAGCTCTCTGGCTTCTCGAACTTTCTCTGTAACCCTCACTCTGGTGGTAGTCATATTTATGTTCATCCTCGGGTGCGCAGCACGTTTACACATGCGCAACACCGTGTCATTGCACAAGGGCGTACACACACTGTTGTTCTTCATAATGACCAGCATGCTATCCAGATTGTCAATGTGCATAGTGATCCTGGTCTCCGTGTGCGGGAACGCAAGCGTCAGCTAGTGCAGATTCGTGATGCTCTTCGGCCTCGAGCGCAGTGCTCTGTCTTTCTTTGTGGCGACTTTAACTTCCCTGCGCAGGGCGAGGGCAGCTTCCAAGTGTCGGGGGGGCTCGTTCACCCCACCCACAGGCTCTTTGCACACATGGTCGAGGTTGAACAGCCGCAGTTCACACATCGTGTCGAAGGGTACGACGAGGGGCGCAAAGTGGCCCTCTCGCTCGGGCGCCTCGACAGGATCTACACTTCGACCCCTGCTAGCATGATCCTGGACCTTTCCCCGAGCTCTGGAACGATCGGCTGTGCAGCAGACCTCGCCACACTCTCTGATCACGTGCCTGTTTTCTTGGCCCTGGCACCCCCCAGCCTCAGTGGGACCTCGAAAGTGCAGCCCTGGGTCTCCAAGCACAAAATGTTCCCCGATGTGTTCAAGGAGGTTTTGCAAGGAGGAGGTGATCTTGATGATGATCCTATACAGCGGGTGGAGGAGGTACGCAACGCAATACAGGTAGCAGCTAAACAACTACTAGCCAAGCTTGAGCAGAAGGGCGCCAGCTCGTTGCCTGAGTACATCTCCTGGTCTCTTGCTGCCATGAGAGCCGAGAGAGCCAAGGCCCCAGGTGTGTTACGCAGGGCTGTGAAGGCCTACCCGATGCTCCAGCGGTTTTTCAATGTCGAGCTCTGCGCCTACTCGAATCTTGTGGGCTTCCACACGTTCTTAGCGAATCTAAAGCGACAGCAGATAGATGAGCAGATTGAAGAAATTCAGAACGACCTGCACATCCCCTCGGCCCAAAAGAAGTCCACTATGAACAAGCTTTACACCTTCAGATCGGCGTGGAAGGGACGTGGTGCCCAGATCTCGTTGCAAGCTATAGCTGACCCGCTCGGTGCCCCCATCTTCGACCCAGTCGCTGGCGCTCGCGAGCTCGCTCGGCACTGGGGAGCTGTGCACTCTGCTGTTGCCATTCAGCCTGCTGCGCTTAATGATTTGCTCGTGCACGTACAGAGAGTTCCTCAAGTAGTTATCTGGAGGTTGGAGGAGGCGGAGTTTGTTGACATGATGAAGAGACCGCGCGACAGCGCCCCGGGGCCGGATGGGATGCCACACTCGGGCTGGAGTCGAGCGGGGGAGGAAGGAGGACGGGCCTTATTCAATCTGTGCGAGCACATCCTTGATGTTGGCGAGTGCCACCCTGAGTTTAATTACGGCCACAACATTTTCCTGGCCAAAGGCGATGATGAGCATGCTTCTTCGCTCTGTATGCGCGCACCTTCAGTTACGAGGCCGCTGACTATGTCGTGCACCTCGAACAAGCTTGTCTCGCTTGCCCTCAACAGGCCGCCGGCTGCCATCTGCAGATACTCGTGCATTAAGGAACAGAGAGGCTTCGTGGGAGGGAGGAATATGAACGAGAACATTCTCGAGCTCGAATATCGTGCGAGGCACTGGTATGTCCAGCGTCTTGTCTCGGCATGCGGCATCGCGCTGTATGATGTGCGCGCGGCCGTCCCGAGCTTGCTGCACGAAGCTATGTTTGCCACTCTGCGTGCCATGGGAGTGCCAGGCTATTTCGCTCGTGCAGTTCAATGCCTCTACACCAATGTTTGGATTGCTATTTCGTATCGGGGAATGCACCAGGATGTAGGCTACTGGCTCTCCCGCGGCATCAAACAGGGATGTCCTGTTAGTGGTTCGCTGTTCGCACTCGCCGTCGACCCCGTGCTGCGGATGATTTGCCTCCTGCTTCCACGACCGCTTCACAGCCTGGGGGCCTTCGCTGATGATGTGGGGATTAGCTCGGGGGACATTGTCGAGGCGTTCGTTTCCAGCATGTCGGTGTGGGACCTCGCTGGGCCTGGTATGGGCCTGTACATCAACGTTGAGAAAACGGTGATCGTCCTTCTGGGGATCTCGGAGGCAGATTTTCTTGCAGCACTTGGGGCGCGCGGGTTTCAGGCCGATACTCTGGGCCTTCAGTTGCTCCCCCGAGGGCGATATCTTGGCATGCGGCTGGGGCCCGGTAGTGTGTTCGATTCCTGGGAGCCCGCCCTTAAGAAGTACGTCCAGAGGATCCAGATGACTCGAGGCCTCGAGTTGGGCCTCACGAAAACTGTGGCACATTATAACATGCTCGCGTTTTCTGTGCTCACGTTCATCGGCCAGTTTTTGGAGCCCACGAACCGTTGCCTGAGCCTGGAGCGCGCTGGCCTGCAGAAGCTCACTGTCGGGCCGAACAATGCTATCACGGCCTCGACGATGCAGGGCCTGACTCAGCTGGGCTTTCCCCTGGGCGCCAGATCGCTGGAGCGCGCGTGCCGTGCCGCCAGATACCGCGCCGCTTACTACTCCCCCGCCTTCCACGAAATCCGAAGGATGCTAGAAGAATTCTCAGAATATGATGAGTGTGTAATAAATTGGCGTCTGCACTCCTGGTGGAAAAGCAGCATCTTGCGGTCGATGATCGAGAATTTCGAATTCCTGACCAGCATCCCAAACGTGCCGAGGGATGAGGTGCCGCTTCAGAAAAAAAAAGACGGAGCTCTTCCTGCGTGAACACTTCCCTCGTTCCGTGAAGCCCCAACTGCTGAGCCGCCTGCGCAAACATGACCCCCGCCTGTGCTATAGTGATCTGGATCTTGTTTTCCTGGCCTTCAGGAGGGCCGCCCCTCTCGTTCCGCCCTCGGTCCTCGCCTCGCTTATGAAAACTGTGTGTAATGCCTGGTGCACCTCGGGGCGTTTTCGGAA